CAGGTTCTGCTGTTTCCAGTGACCTCATCTCTGAGCAAACATGTCTGGTGATAAAGACTATCAAATTTAAAATGAAAAATAGAATTCACTACAACATACTCATGCCAACTGACTGAAGTATGCTCTCTTACCACCAATTTATCTCTTTGGTGTTTGTCTTATTCTGCTTGGTGAACAGAAACTTGCAGAAATTGATTGGAAACATATTTCGTATTTTGCTAAAGCATTTGAAATTACTCCTGAAGTCTGGTTTATGTTTTAGTTTTACTTGAAAGTTGCTTAGAGAGTAAATCTTTTTCCCCCAGCTCTATTTAGATAGAATTGACAAGTCACTTTGTATAAGTGCTGATTTGATACATTTATATATTGCAAAATAATTAGCTAACACCTCCACCGTGTCACATAATTACCATTTCTTTTTTGTAGTGAAAATACTTAAGATCTACTCTCTTAGCAACATTCAAGTATGTAATGCAGTATTATTAGCTATAATCACCATGCTATACATTAGATTCCCCCGAACTTATTAATTTTATAACTGGGAAGTTTGTACCCTTTGACCTCTGTCTCCCCATTTCTTCCACCCCCCCCAACCCCCCAAACCCCTGGTAACCACCACTCTACTGTCTGTTTGGCTGAGTTTGGCTTTGTTAAGAAGAAAACCACAGCCCAAAATGGCATCACTTGTGCCAAAAGCCCATGATACCAAACCTAGATTTAATACCTGATCTAATTGCAGTTTTAACTTTTCCCAGAAATGTAATCTTAACCAACCAGTCTGGAATTTTCTGGTCAGGCAGTAGTAAGGTGATCTGTTGCATAGGCCGTCTCCATCCTCCAGAGGAAGAAGAGGTAATCTGGGTGGTAAAACCCATGCCAGTTCCCTCCCCAAGAAGAGGTCCTGGCCCAAACTAACCCTCTCTTTTCATTTGCTAATGACTTCCTTGGTCCACCCTTCTTCCTATAAAAACCATCCCTTTTGTACAACACCTGGGAGTGCCCTTCTACTTTCTAGATGGAATACTGCTCCATTCAAGAATTGCTTCATAAAGTCAATTAGAGCTTCAGATTTACTTGGTTGAATTTTGTTTTTAACAGGTTTTTTAGATTCCACAGGTAAGTGACAGCACACAGTATTTGTCTTTCTCTGACTTTCTTCGCTAGCATCATGCCCTCAAGTTTCACCCAACTTGTCACAAACTGCAAAATTTCCTTCTTTCTCATGGCTGAATAGTATTCCTAGATAGATAGATAGGTATTGGACATGAATAAGAAGATGTGACATATATGTGTCACATCTTTATTCATTCATCCATTGATGGACACTTAGGTTGTTTGCATATCTTGGCTCTTGTGAATAATGCTGCAGTGAACATGGGAGTGCAGATGTCCTCTCAGATCCTGATTTCAATTCCTTTGGCGATATTCCCAGAAGTGGGATTGCTGGACCATATGGCAGTTCTATTTTTAATTTTTAGGAACCTCCATACTGTTTTCCCTGTGGCTCTATCAATTTGCGTTCCCACCAACAGTGCACAAGAGTACTCTTTTCTTCACACCCTTGCCAACGCTTGTTATCTGTGGTCTTGTTTTTGGGGGGGGGAGGAGAGGGGGGAGAAGATTAGCCCTGAGCTAACATCTGCTGCCAATTCTCCTCTTTTTGCTTAGGAAGACTGGCCCTGAGCTAACATCCGTGCGCATCTTCTTCTATTTTATATGTGGGACACCTACCATAGCACGGCTTGCCAAGCAGTGCCATGTCCGCACCCGGGATCCAAACTGGCGAACCCCGGGCCACCGAAGTGAAACGTGCGCACTTAACCTCTGTGCCACCAGGCTGGCCCCTTTCTTGTCTTTTTGATGATTACCATTCTAACAGGTGTGAGGTGATAACTTGTGGTTTTGATTTGCATTTCTCTAAAGATCAATGATGTGGAGTGCCTTTTCATGTGCCTGTTAGCCATTTATATGTTGTCTTTGGGAAAATGTCTATTCAGGTGCGCGGCCCATGTTTAATCGTGTTTGGGTTTTTTTGCTGTTGAGTTAGATGAATTCTTTATATATTTTTTATATTAACCCCATATCAGTTATATGATTTGTGGATATTTTCTACCATTCTGTAGGTTGCCTTTTCATTTTGTTGGTTGTTTCCTTTGCTGTCCAGAAGCTTTTTAGTTTGATGTAGTCCTACTTATTGATATTTTTGCTTTTCTTGGCTGTGCCTTTGGTGTCATATCCAGGAAATCTGTCCCAAGACCAATGTCAAGGAGCTTTGTCCTGTGTTTTCTTCTAGGAGTTTTATGGATCTTATGTTTAAGTCTTTAATCCATTTCAAGTTTATTTTTGTGAGTGGGGTCCAGTTGCATTTTTCTGAATGTGGTTATCTAGTTTTCCCAATAAAAGAGATCTTCAGAGTTTTCAACATAACAGCCACAACAAATGTGGTAATTACGTGAGGTGAAGGATGTGTTAACTACCCTTATTGTGGTAAACATTTCACAATATATATGTGTATCAGATCATCACAGTGTGCACTTTAAACTTACACAATGTTATTTGTCAATTATGTCTCAATAAAGCTGGGGAAAAGAAAGAAAACAAAAAAAGGATTGTTGATTTCAGTGACATTTGGTAGCTGGATAGGGAAAACAGAAAAAGTGATACACTCCATGATCTTCAATCCAAACATTTATGTTAGGATAACTTATCCCATAATGTCTGTGTAACGCTGTAAGTCTACCTGAAATCTACAATTCAGAGAAACACTATAATTCTATATTATTTTTTCCCCCCAAAATTCTACCTTGTAGGGTGGTGATTCTTTAACTTTTATATCTTGTGCCTTACCATGAAGTTGGGAACCTGGATCTCACAACAGTAGAGTTGTTAGTGCTGCCTAAATAGCTAAGATAAATACAGCCAGTGGTTAACACAGGTTAGCATAAGAGAAACCATCTTATAGAGGGGAACTACATTGGGACTATAACAAGACTCCCCCTTTTCCTCGTTAGCAATGCTCTAGTTTGCACGTAGTTTAGAGAAGTACACATCTGCTTGCTCTGCTATTTTTGTAGCCTTGGCTTATACATAGACCTCCCTGTTCCGATAAGGCAATCACTTTGTTCTTTCAGCTTTCCTAGGGATGTAATGACCTTCGGGAAAAAAAACCTCTGCTATCTGTCCCTGGTGAAGAGAGAAAGGGATGCTCTGTGGTCTCAAGGACTACAGCTCCAGATGGTCAACGTCCCGAGACCTCCCCTTTTCCAGCCCATTTGCCCTATAAAACTGCCTCACAATTTTGTAGTTTTAAGATGGTTCTTTAGGACACGAGTCCACCATCTTCTCCCTTGCTGGCAGGGTGTAATAAAAAGGCCTTTTCTCTCCTACCACCTTGCCTCCTGACTGTTGGCCTGTCTAGTGGTGAGTAGAGGACCCTCTTTGGGGGTTACAGAAACACAAAGCTTGCTTACCCCAAAGAACTTTTTATCTATAGGATTTTATTATTATTCTTACCTTATATAGTGTTTTGAGGACAAAAAAAAAAAGCGAGAGCATTGTTGGGAGTTTTATTTTTGTGGCTTAAAAGTAATGATCGTATTAGTCTTTAAAATGGCAGCAATAGTGTTGACATTTTTACTGCTAGAACTGTAAAACATACAGATATGAATAATCTCATCACCAAAAAAGTTGTGCTAATCAAGTCTTTTATTGGGAAGCTTGAGGATACATTTTACTAACACCTGCATTCATGGGACAAAGTTTGAAAGGCAGGCTTGAAGAGCAAGATTTGCTAACTTTATCCTGTCCTACAACAAAGTTAGAAGCTCTCACAATTGACAAGCAGTCTGAACAGAAGCATTAGCAAGGCTAGTCGGTGGGCTTTATGTGTTTCGTTGCTCTGAGGCTATAATAGAAAACATCAAATGGGACAATATGTATGTTAAAAGACTGCTTCAGCTTGTGTGGAAAAACTTTTATCCAAAGTAGTGTGAACTTCTGTTCTGCAGATGCCTGGAGTATTTTTGAATAATGAATTTATCCATTTATGTTGATTTGTCTTTGACCTTCATACTCTGTTACGGTTACTACTGCCGCATAATAAATTGATCCAAATCTAGCATCTTGAAACCACCATTTCATTGTCTTCACGGATTTTGTGGGTCAGGACTTCAGACTGGGCACAGCGGGGATGGTGGCTCTCTCCCCCTCCAGGTCTCAGGTCTCCTCCCTGGGGCTGGGCTGGCTCAGAAGCCAGGACTGCTGACAGGAGCGACTGCACTTGGCTTCTTCATCTTCTCGGCTTCCTTACAGCTGGTGTTCTCAGGGTCATCAGACGTTCACGGGGCAGCTCAGGACTCACGGCTTGAGTGTTCTAATGCATGAGGCAGAAGCTGCACTGCCTTTTTTTTTTTTTTAAAGATTTTATTTTTTTCCTTTTTCTCCCCAAAGCCCCCCAGTACATAGTTGTATATTCTTCGCTGTGGGCCCCTCCAGCTGCGGCATGTGAGACGCTGCCCCAGCGTGGTCCGATGAGCAGTGCCATGTCCGTGCCCAGGACTCGAACCAATGAAACACTGGGCTGCCTGCAGCGGAACGCGCAAACTCAACCACTCGGCCACGGGGCCAGCCCCTGCACTGCCTTTTATGACCCAGCCTCCCTATTGTGTCCACTGTATTGGTTGAAGGGGTCATAAACCAGCCCTGATTCAAGAAGTGTGCCCACAGCAACTTCCCCCCACCCCAAGGGGGAGAGCAATGTCAGAAGACTTGGGGCCATATGCTGAGACTCCCACTTACTCTATATCCGACTCTCTCTCACTCAGATCCAACTCTAAAAGAATCTTCCTGGGCTGGCCCGGTGGCGCAGCGGTTAAGTGTGCATGTTCTGCTTCGGTGGCCCGGGGTTCACCAGTTTGGATCCCGGGTGCAGACATGGCACCGCTTGGCAAGCCATGCTGTGGTAGGCGTCCCACATATAAAGTAGAGGAAGATGGGCATGGATGTGAGCTCAGGGCCAGCCTTCCTCAGCAAAAAGAGGAGGATTGGCAGCAGATGTTAGCTCAGGGCTAATCTTCCTCGGAAAAAAAAGAATTTCCCTTTAGATATTTTCTCAAAGTGAATACAACATGTTCATAAAATCCCCTACATGAGGTCTTAAGGCCACTGAAACCACCATGTAATGATCTTTCTTTCTCAGGGGAAGCAGATGGAATTATCAGACTGTGCCTACTGTTTTTAAACAAGGCTTGCCAATATCTGTGCCTGCTTCCAAGAGCTGGGCTGTACTTCTGCAGTGAGGGAGAGAACATGTAATCGTCCCTTGTGAAGAGATCAGCTCTTTCATTTAGGAATCGTGCTTCTTGCTTTCAGGGTTTGTTCTCTGAATAGACATGTCCCTGCAGCTGGTCTGACTGAGCAGGAGCTTGTCTGTTAGAATCTCAATAAAAATGGTGAAAGCGTGCCTGAGGGCCTGGATTAGGGTGAAGCAAGCAAGGCACTTGCTCCAGTGGCAAGATTTAAGGAGGCATCAAAAAGCTCAGTAATCAAGACAAATATTTTAATGCAGTATTTTAAAAAATTAAAATTAATGCCAAGCAATCCAGAATAAAACATCAAAATTTTAAATAAAGGCAGTGTATTACTTTCCTAGGGCTGCTGTAACAAAGTACCATAAACTGAGTGGCTTAAAACAGAAATGTATGGTCTCCCAGTTCTGGGGGCTGGAGGCCCTCAGGGAGAACCCTGTGCCTCTCTCCTTGCTGCTGGCAGTGGTGGCCGCAGTCTTTGGTGTTCCTGGGCTAGTAGCTGCATCATTGCAGTCTCTGCCTCCATCTTCACATCTGTGCCCATCTTTTTCTATTTTGTATGTGGGATGCTGCCACAGCATCACTGATGAGCCATGTGTAGGTCCATGCCTGGAATCCAAACCCATGAACCCCAGGCTGCTGAAGCAGAGCATGCGAACTTAACCGCTACACCACAGGGCGGCCTTTCTTCTCTTCTTATAAGGACATCAGTCATTGGATTTAGCATCTATCTTAATCTGGTATGATCTCACTTTATTTCCAAACAAGGTCACATTCTGAGGCTCCGGATGGACACGAATTTTGGGGAGATACTATTTAACAGTACAGACAGGATGAGTATTACTGGTTTTTTCTTTTGCCTCAAGATCCAGTATGGCTCAGCTTGGCGTCCCCTATTTTAGCACTAGCATGGGCCTGCCACTGCCAGGTGAGCTGCTATTACATCAGCTCTGGGGCCCGAGACTGAGAAGGCTGCACTGTACGTTCTTGCTGAGAAGTTTCACCCACTCTCCTTCAGCTTCCACAGACCTGTATGATGACTCTGAAATCTCTCTTTCCAGACTCATCACCCTCCTGAGTCCTAGACTCCTTTTCTAGTGCCTCCTGGACATCCCAACCTGTTAGCCTGCAGGCATCTCAAATTTCACTTGCATCTCACTGAGCTTTTGTGTCTTCTTGCCCTTTATTGGCATGATCACCCCTCTGCCCCCACGACACAAGTGCTTGAGAGTCATTCTTGACTCTGGTCTCTCACTCTCCCCCAGCATCTCTCTTCCACCTCAGGGATGATTCTGGATCATCATCCTCTGCAGTAGTTCACAGGTCTTTGTCAGGGGGTATCAGCCTGGACATGGAGATGTTCCTATAGAATACTATATTGATCATGGTCTGCTTGGAAAATAAGAAGTAGTGTTGTGACTTTGTTACAGGTTTAGATACTAGGCATATTTTGGCTCTAAAAGTACAATGAAGGGTATTGATAATTTTGTAGTTGTCAGCATGACTTGGACATTGTTTTGATGTTTGGTATTGCTAACCTTGGTCATCCTAAGCAAATTCCTTCTATTCTCTCTCATCTGTAAGTGTTCCCTTCACCTCCTTGCTCTCATAGAAACTCCACTCTCCCTGGGGGCACTGCTCCCTCCAGGGCCCCCAGCTTGGCAGTTCACAGGCCTCCTGCCACCTCTGCCCCTGGAGGCAGGGTGGATGTCTCCTTTCTCCTCCTGGTTACTTCCAGACCAGTTCTCCTCCTCTCTACCCCTACACCTGTTTTTAGTCTTATGTTATCAGACTGTACCACATTCTGCTCACCCATAGTGCAGTCATATATGGACCCCTCATTTTTCGAAGATTCTTATCTCCAGGCTCACTGCCACTCTCTGAAGCAACTCCTGATTTCAGTATCCAAGTGGATGATCTTCTAATAGCCAGGCCTCATGGTTCCTTTGTTACGGAACCAAAGTGGGTCCACTTCTTGGGGAGTTGAAATTAGAGCCTTCACCAGAAGTAGTTGTCACACACAGTTTATTTGCTGCAAATAAGGAGCCTACAGGGAATTATTTCTCAAAGCATGGCTCCCCAAGCATAGGACAGCAGGGGCCTTTTATTTGGGATGGGGAACGAATATTCAAAAGGGAGAGATGGGTATTAGCTTGCGCAGGCTCAGTTGAAAAACATGCTTCCACATACGTGGCATGTTATGGTAGTAAGGCTTAGTCTCCTCTTGGGGTGGAGACTTTAGTATTAAAATGAAGCAAAGGGCAACTTTAGGTCTTCTCTCAGCTCACCCGTGCAGTGCTGCTCCTGAGGTGAGGCTCGGTCTGCTTCCGGGTGGTGGGTGACCGCATGTCTTAACAACAACAAACAATTTGGAGAAACAGTTAAATGCTGCTGAAACCTCCCTGGAGTTCCTCAGGGCAATTAGTCACACTTAGTGACACCTTGACTCCCCCTCCTCCAGGGGAGTAGCCGTGTCCTCTCCCCTGTAACAGCCACTCAGCTCCCAGGGGCCTGCTCTAAACTTTGTTATACTACCTCCTCTCCTTCCCCCTCCGTCTCGTTCTGCCACCTCCAATCTTGGCAGCCAGCTCCTTCTAGCAGTTCTTTTCACCTCGCTTGTAGTCTCACCCTTCTGCTTACCTGGTTTAAACTCCATGATCAGTCATTATAGTCACTCCTTGCATAACTCTCAGCTCCTAATCTAAACTCACTCAGCATAACATAGCGCCAACTGGGCTTGCTCTAAATGCATGAGCCCACCCCCAGGTGGAGCTATTCTGTCTGACAACCACACATGTGCCTGGAACGTTTGCCCTCTCTGGATAACATGCACACTCTCCTAGGTAACTAGTTTTCACACCTGCCCTTATTTCTTCGAACCTCCAGTGCCTCTCCCATCCTAACTCCTTCAGTTTTCCTAAGAAAACAACAAGTGATCTGAATGAACAGAACTTCCAGCTCTCATCACTATGGCACCCACCATCCGCCACTGGGCAGAGTATCGACTCTGTTTTCCTGCCTGTTTCTCCTGTGGGTGGACTGTCTATGTTTCTAGCTAAGGGTGCCCCCTTTTCCTGTGCCCAAGATCAGTTATCAATCAGTTCATACAGTGGTCAATCAATGGATTATTTTCATCAGTATACAACTGTATTCTGCCTAATTAAAAAACACATTTCTCACATCTCTTCCAGCTGCTACTCCATTTTTGGGCTCTCCATAGCAAACACCTCGACATTCCTCCACCTCCTCTCATTCCATTCTTTCATGGATCCATTCAAGTTGGGTCTCGCCCTTGCCATGCCACCAAACCTGTTCTTCTCAAGGTCAGCATGGCCTCCGTGTAATGGTTAATTCTCACACCTCACCTTTCTTGACCTACCAGCACCTATGACACAGTGGCCTCCGAACTGGCTTCCCTGCTTGTACCCATGTTTCTCTGTAGTCTATTCTCAACACACAAGCCACAGTGATCCTTTTAACGCCTAAATTAGCTCATTTCATTCCTTTACTCAATAAATTCAGGATAGAAGCCAAAATCCATACCACGTCCTAAAAGCTCCCCTGAACTGACCTCTCAGGAACTCTGGAAACTTCTCCTGCTGTTCCTTCCCTGGCCACTCCCCTCCACCCACGCTGGCTTCCCAGATGTTCTTCTGACAGACCTGGGTGTGCTTCCCCTCAGGACGTTTCTGCAGGCAGTTTGCTCTGCCTGAAGGCTCGCCACTGTTCTTCTCTGCCCCTTCCCTCCCTCCTTCCACATCCACCGCCAGAATGTCACCCCGAAAGGTGGGGAGGCTGGTCTCTTCATTTTCTGCCGTAATCTCAGTGCTGAGGACAGTGTAAGGACTGTGTCCCACACATCATGGGCCCTCATCCAGTATTTGCTGAATGACTGGAAGAGTGTCATGCTTTGTCCTGACCCTGTGCCTTCCAGCATGTTTTATTGCCTTGGCCTGGAGTGCCCTTCCTCCCACCTGGAAAGTATTCATTTCTTTAGACCCACCTTTTTTGGTGAAAAATCTTTTTCCCTAGGCAGTCTCTCTTTATCACCCGTGCTTTCAAATATACTTAACCACAATACTTTTATTATACTTAGGAAATTTAACATTGACACAAAAATATTTTCTAATACATAGTCCCTACTCAAATTTCCCCAACTGTTCCAGTGATGTCTTTAAAAAACTTTAAATTGAAGATTTAATCAAGGGTCACACATTATCTTGTTTCTAAAATTTGCTTAGTTTTTAATGTATCTTATCACTAATTCATACCCACAATTCCCAGGACAAGAGTAGAATCCCCTCTCAGCAAGGTCAAATAAATGAGAAAATCTATTCTATTTTTCTCTTGGAGACGCCCCTCCCAAAGGTCTCCATCCAAACAGAGTTCTGTGCTATAGGTCTGCCACACAGCTTCCTCTTGCGCTTCCCTTCACCATGTTGATGCAAATAATCCATAATCAATCTATACGTCAAAATTGGGGTGAGTTTATTATGAGCCAAGCTTGAGGACTGGAGCTTGGGGCCTTCCTTCCCCAAGGAAGAAAGGGCACCAAAGAAGTGGGGTGTACCAAATGGTTATATAGCATCTTGGAACAAAGAGTATACATCACTTATGACAGAATACCTGTTTTACTACTGTCACGAGATGCTTGGCTGGCACAGCAGGTCGGTGGTCACAAGGTGAGCACAGCAGGTCAGTATTTAATGTTTAGTTTCCAGGAGGAAATGCTTATCTTTAAAGAAATGCCGATATGGGGGGAAATTACTTCCCTATCTTTAAGGACATCATTCTTGTCTTTGGGACACTATAAATGTTTAAAGCAGATGTACAATGCACGCTCAACAGGCCACGTCAGGCTCTTTTGGAAAAGCAAGGTCAGGCCAAGTTAGTTTTAAGCCAAATGGCTTCCTCATTTACTCCAATATATCCTATTGCTGTTCATTTATTTATCAGCCACGACTGAGAATTCCCTTTACCTCTCTCCTCAGTTGGATTCCATGTGTACTGGATCCCAGCTCTCCCTCTGTTTTGGCTTACTACCTTATCTTGGTAGAAAGCATCCTCCAGTAGCTTCTTATGGAAGAGTGCATTGAAGGTAAGTTTTTTGAGAACTTACATGTCTAAAAAGACCTATATTCTACCCTCAAACTCTATTGAGAGTTTAATTGGGTATAGAATTCTAGGTGTAAAAGTAATTTACTCAATATTTTGGAGGTGTTATTCTATTGACTTCTAGTTTCCAATGTGGTTTAGACATCCAGTTTGTTCTGATTACTTGTTCTGCAGGCACAACTGTTTTTCCCCTGCTCTGAAGGCTATTAGGATTATTTCTTTAACCCTCATGTTCTGAAATTGTACAATGATATGCCTTAGATCTTTTTTAAAGTTGAATAAGCTGGGGACCAGGTAGATGCTTTCAATCTGGAAACTCGTTTCTTTAGGGGAATGTTCCTTTATTATTTATTCAATAATTTCCTCCCTTTGATTTACTCTCATTTCCCTTTCTAGAACTTCTGTTAGTCCAGTGTTGGGGAGCCTGGATTTATCTTCTAATATTCCTACCATTTTTAAAAAATTTTCTTTCTTTTTTTTTGCTTTGTTTTATGGGACTTTTCCTTAAAATTCTCTTCTAACTTTTCTATTGAAGTAGTTTTCATTCTGGTTATTATACTTTTAATTTCCAAACTTTTCTATTGAAATAGTTTTCATTCTGGTTATTATACTTTTAATTTCCAAAGGCCTTTTCTTTTTCTCTGATTGCTTCTTTCTTTTTTAAAAAACTTTAATACTCCTTATTCTTGCATCATGGGTCCAACAGCTTTTCTTCTTTTTTCAGAGGATAGTAGTTGTTTTCTAGTTTCTTCTAAGTTCTTTTTTCTCTTTTTCCTCTTTGCTTTGGTCTAAGTCTCTTATATGGGAAGCTTTCCTAAAATGTCTGGTGATCCTTGGTTGTCTGGCTGGCTGTCTGTATTTAAGCGTGAGGATGGAACAAGTGGATTTTCGTGGGGAGGGGGAAGCCTCATGCATGAGGAGCTTCCCCGGAGGATTAAGCAGCTGGAGTGAGCCAACTTCTGGAGGACTTGCCCAGTGTCAGAGCACAGAAGGACCTGTCACTCTCCAGCTTTGGAGGGAGCAAATCAGCCTAGTCTGACAGCTTTCTGGGAAATAAGTGGGCAAAAGGGCTGGATGGTCTTGTGGACCAATATGTAGATTTCCCCAAATTTAATTCCATTTTTCAGTTCAGCCCTGGCCCCTGCCTGTCCAGGCCCAGGGGGCACTGTTGACCCTGAGCCGCCAGGGGTGGGAGTGGGATAGGCTTGCTTCTCCTGGGCCCCCACTGTTGGTGCTGGGTTTCAGCTTCCTCCCAGGTTAGTCACACTCAGCCATCAGTTGCCAACTTCCTAGAATGTGATTTGTTCTGCTGTTTTTTTCTCTTCCCTTCTGTATTTCCTTGTAGATTTATAACTTTTACTTTCCTTTTCTGTCTTGTGAGGGGGAGTTGGAAAAGAGTGGAGATAAAAAGCATGTGTTGAATTATCCATCTTTTTAGGTAAATAATCATTCATTATTAAACTCCTAGATGTCGCCGCATGTTTTCCCTTAGAAGAGGACTTCCTCGTCACGTAACTAGTTCAATATGCCGCACTCTGTCCTGGGAATGGATGTTCCACCCGTCAAAGCGACTCGGTGTGTGTTCGCGCCATCTAGTGGACAACTCGGATTTAGCACCGCAGGCTTTACGTCTGGCCGGGCGCCTCCGGAAAGCACGGAAAGAGCCAGAAAGCGGCACTACTGTGTCCTCGGTGTCTCTGTGCAGAATCTCCCCAAAGAGAAGTGTCTCCTCTATTATGTGGAAAGAAAACACACATTTATTTTGTAGTTTATTTTATTACCTATTTTAGTTCATCTTTATGACTTTCTTCGTCTTGCCGTTGAAATTTAAAATGTTTCCTAATATCCTTGTGGGAGATGATAAAAATAACTCATATAGCTGTTCTCCTTTCTTTATAACAGTGTTTTTATTCAGCAAGGATTGGATTCTATTTCTTTCTCCTCTGGGATGTTTCCCTAGTCCACGGCTGACCTTTCTTAGGAATTAATTGAAAAGGAAATGGCAGATACCATTCAGCCCCTGGGCCTGGTAAACCAGTAGAGGCCAGGCTTGGAGGTCGCCGGGGCCAGCTGAGACAAGCTGCCAGGGAACTCTGCTGCTCTGTGTTAGGAAGACTTCTTGTTACCCTGGTAAAGTGAAAAGACATGAGCGACCCAGTCTATCAATCTTACTCTCAATAATTTACTTAAAAACAGACAAACAAACAAACAAAAAACCCTGATCTGAAGATTCAGGCAGAAATTTAAAACTACTTCTCTCTTTTCATAACTCCAAAAGGATTTTGCGTCTGTAGCTGTAGAACCTGCTGTAGGTGTTCCTAAGCCTCAATTCAGCCAACTCCTGAGAGTTCCCACAGTGTCAAAATGTGTGACCCGCCAGTGCTTGGGCCAGGCGTAAACCGATTAAGTTTTTAAATAGATCAAGTGTGAGCTGAAACCTGCTACCTAATTTAAATGCCATCTAGTGGCCAAGTGTCATTTTTAGTTCTCAATCAAAATGGTTTTGGTGCCTTGTAGTATTTTCCTTAGGGTGATTTACCAAATAGAGCTGCTTCTGCTCTTGGAGTGAAGGGAATTGAAATATTTCCTCATCATAAAAGATGTTTAACAGCTTGCAGTGTGCCTAAGTCCCAGCTCTTATTCTAGGCACGTATGCTTATCTGGCTGCAAAACAGAGAGTTGTAACTTGGTTTGGCTACTAGGTCATTAAATAGCACCAGTATTTAATTATGATTTATTACTTTAAAACTGAAAAATAAAAAGAAGAATAGATGTAATGTCAGGTGACTAGTGTGGGAACAAAATTCTAAATATTGATGGCCAGAGGAATTAAAGAATCAACCTTCAGTCTCAGAAAATTGAAGAACTGTGAGAGAGACACGTCGTTTGTCTGAAAGTGAATGTCATGGACAAGCAAATTAGTGTGACAATAATAACAGTGGTGGTGGCCGCAGCAGCTAACGTGTTTTCCGCTGAATGCTGGGCACTGTTCTGAGTGCACGGCTTGTATCGACTCATTGGCTCTGCAAACAACATCATGAATTCAGTACTATCGTTACACCCATTTTATAGACAAAATCGAGGCACAGAGCGGTTAAGTTGCGTGTCCACTAGTGAGAGGCTGAGTAGGGATCAGAATATTTGGAGTGTCCTTTGGTCTCTTGGCTGGTTTGGATTTTGGTTAGTCCTGCTTTGGTCGAAGGATCCTTGGAGAATCGTGAAAACCCGGGCATGGTCTGAGCTGGCCTCCAGGTGGGGTTTGGGGTTTTGGCTCAGGGATGAGGTAGAGCAAACAGGGCTCTCTCCGGTGTCTGACCAGGTCGGCTTTGGTCAGACCCTCTGCTCCTCTGGCTCTGTGGGAGTCAGCTGCCCCTGGAGGGTTGACAGTAGATTCCCTTTTTGTGTAATTGTCGTCTGGGGTTATTGGTAACCTGCTTCCCCAGCATTTTTCTACAGAGAGTAGAGAGTTGATTGACGTGAGTGTGACCAAACTAGCTGTGGTTATGCAATAAGTAGGACATCGTTAAGGATTTTTCTTGTTGGTCCCAAATCTGGTTCTATTCTTTCACTTCAGGCATGTGACCATCTAAAGCCTCAAAGATAGCAAGTGAGTTTAATACTTTACACGGTGCTTTGTTGATTTCAGTGAGCCTCACAAGTGCTCTTGAGGTCAATAACAATAGGTTTATTATCCTCGGTGTACAGATAAGGAAACTGGGACTCAGAGAGATTAAGTGGATTGCCAAAGTTCCTGAGACTATTGACCATAGAATTAAGACTGGAACACCTGGGTATTTCACTGCATTTATTAACACACACACACATTTTTCCAGGCTTGTAGTATGAATGTGTGTGCATGCGTAAATGGCAATGCCAATTAAATGTGAAGTAAGGTAGCCTAATGTAAAAGTGAAAATTGTGCTAATTCTAATTTTATCATCTATTTTCTGCTTTCCCAGTTACTATTTAGAGACGTTAGAAAGAAAGTCAGATAACCAAATCAGTTAGGGTAGATAGTTGGGTATTTTACAGCCCCAAAGGCAGAATCTAGGTAATCTTTCAAGGTTAACTCTAGTCCTCTAATTTTATTTTTCCATTAAAAAAGTAGAATTCTAATTCTTTAAAAAAAGTTTATTCATAAAATGACATATCTCTACGGCCGTTTCACGAGCTTATCATCCCTAACATAGTTTATCCAGAAGGAGGCAGCATTTTACTATTAAATTGATGCTTCTGCAAAGATTCTAACAAGTATTTTTGTTTTCTCCTTTGAAGATGTGGATGAGCTGATCACACACGACCACACCTTCAGGGCAAATGTCCCTGGGTATCAATAAAGCTCTGCATACCGAAAAGGGTGTAAATTCCAGACCCCGCCCAGATGAACCGGGTCTAAAGTTACAAATAACATGTATCGTGGCCAAGTTCATCGACAGGAACTGTTTCCGCAAGAAAGATGCTGATCAAAACAGAGTTGAACAGAAGACGGAGTAGAAGAAAGGGAAAATGAATGATTCAGTTATTGCTAACTCGTAGGATATAAATATTTGGTAAATAAGAAACGAACTTTTGAGAGAAAAACGTTAATTCACTGAGAAATAAGGATAATGAATTCATTTTAATTGTCTGCCTAATTTCATACATGTAACCTACTTCTTTCCTTGATGTCATATTATCATGGGATCTTTAGAAGGGACCTTGAAATTTCATGTGACACATTTCAGTGATTGCAGGTCAGAACTCATTTCATCCATCCAGGGAAGTGAGAGTCTATCTGCTCTCAAAGAATTAGGAAGAAAGGGATTCCAACCTGATGGGGAAACGAAATGATAAGGATTATGAGAATGATGGGATGGGGAGGGGGCCTTTTTCTGTTGCCCCGGATTTGAAAGAAGGCCCAGAGCTAAAAACGGTAATCGGGATCTGAAACTTTCTCCAAAGTTTTTCTAAGGGGCTGATGAACTGGGCCTCAGTCCCCACCTACACCCCCTGCCCCTTAATACCCAGTCCAGGGTCTACAGCAGAAGCCTGAGGAGAAGTGAGGTGGGCCGTTCCTCCCCTCCCACTGGGGAGGGACTTCTCCTGACTCCCACTGCCTAGTAACGAAAGAGGCTCTGACAGTGGCTTTCAGGGCTGAGCCTGGTCACCTCTGCTTAGGTAGCAGACTTGCTGGGCTGCCATTCCTCCCAGAGCCCAGAAGATGGAAGCTGGGGAGACCTGGCTGGCCCGGTGGAATTGGCGACAGTGGAGCAGCCAGCTTGCCCGCCTATTATGTCGCATGACCAGGGTGCAGGAAATTCCTTAGGACCAGAGGACGTAAGGAAGGCAGCTATCCTTGAGCCACCTGGCTATACGCCCCTCCCACCCCCAAAGACTGTGCACCATGATTTGGGTATATTACTGGGCTAGTTGAGGGGTAAGTGGGAGAGGTCCAGCTAGAGCTGAATCTTCCGTATTGGGGCACTGCGCACTGGGAAGACCCGTCTGGCTAAATTTCACATGTGCTCCCCATGAGGCAGAGTTCAGATGCTGGCATGCACACTCAGGGTTGCCGGAGAAGCAGAGCAGTCAACAGAGAGGGGGCCACAGCTGTCTCTTTCCTTCGCTTTCTTCCTGACTCCCATCCTGAGGGGAGCCAGGCCTGGGAGGGGGAAGAAGGAGTGTCTCAGAGCCTGGACTCCCTCCAGCCTCATCTCACTCCAAGCAGTCAGGGGCTCGACACGTGCCCTCTCTGCAGGGGTGGGAGAGGGATGAGATAGACTTATGTAGAGTTTGAAATTGAAGTCTTAGATGATCTTCTTTTAGTATCCAAAAGTGAATAGGAAGTGATGCAGTCTGCCCAGGATGTCATGGAGTGATGGCAAAGGGAAAAGTGGAAGATGACAAAGGCGGGTGCAGTTCTGATCACCAGTTCCAGTGTGTGGTTTTTTTCCCCACAGCACCAAGCAATTCTCAAGTCACCAGCAGGGTGTCCTGTAATTCAGCTCAGTTCTGATGCTGTCTACGGGAGACAGCATCAGATTCCACAGGGTAAGGGCTCAGCCCCACGAGACTGCCTCCAATTCAGATGCCAATCCCAAGTCCAGGTTGTCACCTGTGCTTCTGCCCAACTGGCTGTAAATTAAAGGAACCCAGGACCCCCTCCTCAGGTTCAATTAATTTGCTAGAGCAGCTGACAGAACTCAGGAAAACAGTTTACTTACTAGATTACCAGTTTGTTATAAAGGACATTAAAGGATATGAATCAACTGCCAGGTGAAGAGATACACAGGACAATGTCCCAAATGAAGGAGCTTCTGACCCTGTGGAGTTTGGGACCTGGCACATGGCAGCATTCTGGTTCACCAACCTAGAAGCTCTCTGAATCTCGTCCTTTTGGGTTTTTATGGAGGCTTCATTACATAGGCATGATTAGTTAAATCAATGGCCATGGGTGACTGATTCAATCTTCAGGCCCTCTCCCCTCCTGGGAGGTCAGGGGGTGGGACTGAAATTTCCGACTCTCTGTTCACAGGATTGGGTTCTCTGACAGCCAGCCCCCCTCCTAGGTGCTTTCCGGAGTGACCTCCTTAACCTAACAAAAGACACCTTTATCTCTCTCACTTAGGAAATTCCAAGGCTTTCCGGAGCTCTGTGCCAGGAGAAGGATGAAGACCAAACATATATTTCTTATTATAAATCACATATCACAGCAGGGATTAGGAAGAAGTTAGGTTATTTCACATTTATGTCCCATTAAGTAGAGACAAATTGGCTACGTAAGTATATAGTGGGAATGCTATTTAAAAACTGATATAATTCTTATTTTCCTAATTCCTGTTCCTCTTCCATCCTTCACCTTTAAGGCTTATTTCCCAGGGAAGAAAATGATGATATCAAAGAAATTCTGAAGGAAATCGTGACAATCAGTGTTTTCCACCCAATGGGAAGAGAAAGTAGATATCACTTCTAGTTTCTAGGAAGCTGTGTCTTTTGGGGCTGCCATGAAAAAATACCACAGATTGGCCTAAACAACACAAATTTATTTTCGCTCAGTTCTGGAGGCTGGAAGTCCAAGATCAAGATGCCAGTAGATTTGGTTCCAGGTGAGGATCCTCTTCCTGGCTTGTAGATGGCTGCCTTCTATGTCCTCACAAGGCAGAGAAAGGGTGCTCTCATGTCCCTTCATCTTCTTGTAAGGGCACTAATCCCGTCCTGAGAGCCCCACCCTCATGACCTCATCTAACCCAATTATCTCCCACAGGCCCATCTCCAAATGCCATCACGCGGGGGGTTAGGGCTTCAGCCTGAGTAGGGGGTCAGAATGGGGGGCACACAATTTAGTCCATAACAGTGGGCTGGTGAGGAAGTTTATACCGTTTATAGAAAAAGCATGATACCACAATCTTTTGGTGTGTATAACTTATAGTGTGTCATTAAAAAACAAGTCCTATTGCAAGTATTTGCAGTTCCACCTCCCTACCCATGGGAACAGTGTGTGTGCATAGATCAAGAGACTGAGAGGGCAGGTTGGGGGAGAGAAGGAAGTAAGAAGAGGCAAGAGGAAGAAAAAGAGAAAATTACAGGGAGATGGAGAGAGGAGAAGCCTGGAGAAGGGGAGACAGCGGGAAGGAGGGAAGGAGAGAGAGGAGACTGAGGGGGACAGGGGCTCGGAGCCGACTGGAGCAGTGGAGTTTGCCAGATGGACTGGAATTCGGGGGAAAGAGCAATTAGAGAGTCTCAGGCCGTTGCTGTGTGATGTGACACCTGATCTTCTCAGGACCCCTGTGTCCAGGGCCCGTGCCTGCCCATTGTCTGGCGGCTGCTCTCCTGTTTGCATTTGATTCTGGAGTGTGTTGGGACCTGGGAGCTCTAGTGTCACACACTGTTCACACAGAGTGACTGGGCTAACGTGTCACAGGCCCCATTCCTATGGAGGCTGCCTTTTGTCTAGTCCCTTCTGCTGGCATTGATGGCATCCCTTCCTGTGTTGCCCTGTTGGAAAGCAGTCTGTCCCTGACCTGGTTAACAGCCATTTTGAAGTGACGTCTGAGAGGCAGTTGGCCTCCAGCTTTCTCTCCTAACGGGAGTAATGCCAGTTTCTTTACTCCTTTCTCCTCGCTTGCCCTAGGCTTTCCTTCTGAGTCCCTTCGGCGGCGTCTGGAGCCGGCCAGGATTTGCGCTGTCGTCTTCAGCTAGTTAGCCTGGCGTAGGATTAGCACAGCCGCACGCGGGCGGGCCTGGTGCAGCTCTGAGTTGTGCTCTATCTCTTTCTTTGCATTCATTTCTTCAGACTATTTGCTTAATTAAATAAAAGGTCACATTTTAGTTATAATGGTCCCAGTGATTTCAACTATCTGCTGAGTTATTCTGACTCCTTCAGACTTAGAACTCACTCCTTTTGCAACAACCTTGGCTAGAGGACAGTGGTGTTATATATTTTTCTGATAGTCTATTTTCAGTGTTTCAAAACTCTTAGTGAATATTTAGAAGCTTGGTTTCTTAAAAAGTTTAGAATGTGTGTTTACTTAAAACGAGAGGACTGAGTTTATCATAAATGTCCATTTTGATTGATTACTTGCCTAATGCAGCATAATATACAGAAATGCTGAACATTCCATTCAACCACGTGGGACAAACTGGGAATTCCTGAGGATTAAATTTCAGCATGAGGAATGAGAAAATTCCATACAATTAAGAGGAGACAGGAAGAAGGAAATGGTAAGTTTGTAATTTTCTGGGAAAAAAAATTGAAGAATTTTTTTTCTGTGTAGAAAAGTAGAGGAAAGAGTTCCAGAATATATAAAATATACTGCCTTTACATCTCAGGGTAGATTTTGTGGTCCACTTTAAGGCTTGAAAATAGTGTTTGTAAAAGCTGATTGGCTTAGTATCCTGAGGGCATCTTTCCCCGTCAAAGATTGTCTGGAGATAAGTCCTCTGACACTGGAGAATATTATCAAATATTCAGTGCTCATGATCCCAGGCACACAGTAGAAGATGCAGTTTGAAAGGCTTTCTGGAGGGTCTGTTGAAATTTTTTGGACAAAGTCAAAGGCATTTTGAAATATCAAGTATTTTATTTTGTCTTTGACCAAAAGAATTGAAAAGTAAATCCATGCTTAAGAATGTGTTATAGGTGCAAAGTAAAGTGAAAATGTGAGTTAACTGTCTAGATTCTTGAAATACAAAAGTCTGCAGTATTCCCTTAGAGGCAAAAGTGAGTTCGAATTACGTCCTTTATTCAGTTCTTTATTTTGTTCTCTCTGTGGAGAATCATCCTCAAAACTGGGAAAGTGATAAGATTAGAAATGTGTTTGTTTGTTGGTATCGTTTTGGAAGCAGCTTATCTGGTGCTTAGTTGAAGGGTACCTAGCCATTAGGAAGTGTTTTCTCTAAATACTCACTTTGGTTATTTTAATTTCTTTGACTCTTGCCTTCTTTCTTTCCATTAATTCTCTTGTTCAGAATGGAAAGAGAAAGGTCAGGGCTGTGGTTTAGTTCTTGAGTTTGCCTCCTTATTTTCTGTCAGTGAGCTCATTAATCGTGCAATCCGGAGAGAGGACCAGACAGATGCATTGTGAAAGAATGCAAGATGGGGGCATAGAAGAAAGGTGGGGCAGGTTCAGTCCCCCTTGACACTGTGCTCATCTTAGACTCGGAATGTGTGCCTAGGTCGCACACACCCAGCAATACATGTTTGCCAACACCCACCCCCACAAAATCATTAACTCACAAGCAGGATGAATTGCATCTTTAAAACTATGACAAGGTGCAGTTCAGCTGCCCTGAGTCCTCCTGTCTTTTTTGGCATGTAATTGTGTCTTTTCCATCATTGTAGGCAGACCAGAGGTGACATCACATTTGAGGTGTGATCAACATCATTGGTCAGCACCGAGGGGGGACATTCCAGACAGTTCTGGAGAGCTGGACCTGAGGTCGGAGAGCAATCTTGTAAGCAGAGAAGAAAGGAGCATCAAACAGTGCCTATTTTGGGGACCTTGACCGTCCAGTAAATCGCATCATAGTACACCCACCGTTACAACGTTTTACATTTGCATAACAGTTTTGGTCTAAGAATCTTGGAGATTTTTCAAGAAACAGCATTGCTATTATAGTTCTGTTTTAATATAAGTGGAAATAGTGAATCACAGGATTAAAGTAACTTTTCAAGGCATTGTTTAGTGCTAGATGAGGCTGTTAGTTGGTAAGAAGTATAAAAATCAAGAAGAAATGTACATGAATCTAACGACATTGGCCAAAATAAAGCAGAATTGTGATCCCAACAAGTTTTCACCTTCTTCATTTTTTGCCTCTTTCCACTTCCCAACGACTCAGAATTCTTAGATCTCTTTAAACCTGCTCTTAGGAATCTTCTAGAATCAGATTTGTGAATTTCAACCAGTATGTTGCCTCTTCCAGAGGTATTTATATTTTAAGCCTTTTCTTTTTTTGTGAAAGATAGGGTTGTCCTCAGTAAAAGGAATTTCAAATCAAAAGAGGGTGACAGAGAACCTTTTTGGAAGTAGAGAGTCCTTTCTAGCACAGTTCTGCTTGCTTCATCTGTAAGTATCGATGGTTTTTGCCTGTAAATATTTCTTTATATGAGTAAGATATAAAAAGTCAGAGAGAGTCCAGCTAATTAAGTGGAAATTCATCAGTTAACTTTGAGATGGTTGACTATTAAAAGAATTTTCTGGCCGTTCCCTGACATAAGCCAAGAAATCTTCCTGGGTGTGTTTCCTGGTCAGGTTACAATAGCCTGTGTTACTGAGTTAGTAACTCAGTGAGTTCCTCTGCATTCCCCCCACCCCAAGAGTATTGGGAGAGACTTTTTTTTGGAGATACTTACAGTTAAAGAAAAAAGTAGAGGGGCCGGCCTGGTGGCGCAGTGGTTAAGCTCACATGTTCCTCTTCGGTGGCCTAGGGTTCCCCGATTCTGATGCTGGGTGCGGACATGGCACAGCGTGGCAAGCCATGCTGTGGCAGGCGTCCCACATATAAAGTAAGGGAAGATGGACACGGATGTTAGCTCAGGGCCAGTCTTCCTAAGCAAAAAGAGGAGGATTGGCAGCAGATGTTAGCTCAGGGCTAATCTTCCGCAAAAAAAAAAGAAAAAAGTAGAAAATTTGGAAAATAGAATATGCTAAACATCTAGGCTATCTAAGAAAATTGTTTTAAAAGAGTGACTGTTCTATCTGTGAAACATCGCCCATATTCTCTCTGATAAAATACAAAAGGAAATACTTGGTTGAAGACAATAGTAGAGTTCGTGATCACAATATAAATTCATTAAGTTTGTTCCAAGGATTTGTCAGTTTCCATATGATTTATTCTTGTTAACAAGGGCGAATATATTGAATCAAAGTTTTGTATCAAACCTCTGTCCTATAGGATTTAAAATAAACCAGTCTGGATGACACATGGGTATGATGCAGAAAAATCACTAAGGAAAATAAGGCAGGATTCCAAGTGTATCAGATCTCCATATTTGTGTATGTTATATATTGAAAGTTGGGTTTGTGATTTCATAAATCTAAGGCCTTTGACTTAGTTTTGAGATTCTGATGTTTTAATGACCCATCCACACCCCTTCTTCCTCATCCCTTGACTATCCCAAAGCTTCTACTTCTCCACTTCTGACAACCCTTGGTGTGCCTGTACCTTAGACCTTGTCATCCCCTGAGAATACTTTACCTCCGAATTTTTGTTTTCCTTTGGCCACAACCTTTTCTCCTTCAACCTCTCCAATTTCTCAAACCCTCTGAAATAGTTCTTCTTTCCTTTCCACCCCTGGCACTCTTCCATGTAGCCTGTGAGGCCCACTCCAGCCTCTTGTCTCCCTCTGCTTGCTTGGGGCCCAGACTCTTGTCTGGGCCAGACTTGGTCCTTGAGAATATGTGTTTAGAAAGGTGAACAGCTTTGATCTCGTTGTGATGTCCTTTCCCTTAACTCCTCCCTCTTCTGCCACTCTGTTGGCCACCGTTTCCTTTGTTTCCAGCTGCATGTTTGGGAAAGAGAGAACATGGGGGAGGTGCTTAACCATGTCACTCCACTCACATTCTGTTGTCCAGTAGAGCTGCAAGGGAGGCAGGAAAACGTAGCTGTACACAGAGATACTAGTGAGCATTCAGAATTTCTTCAACATCTACCTTGTAAGAGTGTCTTGAGAATTAAATACGGTAACATTTATAAAGTATTTAGCTCAGTGCTCAGTAGGTAGTTTTCTCAATATAGTTTGGAATTCCAGTTTGGTGAAGGTTGTTTTTCTCATTGTAAGTTGATGAATTAGCATTCCACTTTATATTTGTGTATTTCTGTGAGTTTGGTTAATGCCAGCCAAAGTCAGAGAGGTCTCTTCATACTCAGAGTATTGATAACAGTACATTTCTGGGTCTGAATATGTAAAGACCACCTAGAAACACCACTTTATGAAATCACATCTTGGGGGCAGCCAACTCTGAAATGAAATTGCTCAGTCACAGTTGGCTCCTTTCTTGGAATCGCCGCAGGGTCTATAATATACTTTTTCCTTCTGATCTTAGCTGGGCTTTCAGTAGTGTGAGCCAGAGGCAGAGTTTCTATCCATCTATATGGACTTTTCGGGTCTTCCTTAGTTATCTCCAGTAGACTCCTGTCCTGTTCTCCATAGCAGTTCCTGAGCTTTTTGTAGGATGCCTGCTGTGCAGTCTCCTTGAATAGCCTGGAGTGGCATTTGCCTGGAGGTCCTGCTGCATACTCCATGGCCACCAAAGCTCCAACTAGCTAACCTTCTAATATTGACCCTGACTGTGTCACCCTTTCTAATAATTCCTTATCTTTCTATCTTCTAATCCTTTTAGCAGGATTTGCTTGCTTCCCAGATCAGGGCCCATCTACCCCCAGCAAAGGCTGGCGCATCTGCCTCAACATCAGTTTTACTCACTAGTGAGAAAGAAAAGCTATTATTTTTATTTTGGAACAAACATAAATATGTTAGGGAGTAGATTGTAAAATCCTCTTGAATTTTAAATTCAGAACTACAAGAAAATTTCTTCTATAAATTGGATGGAATGCCCGCTCCATTTCTAGTTTGGTTTCCGTGGCCGTTTGCGTGTCCTGGGGGAGGAGTCCAAGGAGCAGCACTTCTCTCCCTTGCCTGTCTGGTCAACATGGGCCTGCTCTTCCTGAGTCTGATACAGACCCCGCTCTAGCACGGCACCTTCTGAGGGGCCGTTCCTGATGGCATTGGGCTGCTGGAGATGTCTCCCTCATTCTCAGAGCCCTGCATGGTTCTCTTATGGATCTTGTTTATATTTTATTAATTATCTAGTTATTTAACAAACACACAGAGCACTTAGTAAGGGCAAGACGATCTCCTAAGTGATGAACGTATGTTAATTCCCACGACCACCATATGAAGGAGGTAGTGATTTGTGTGTATATATCTATGAATATGTAGGTTAATGTGTATATATGTGTGTGTGTGCATGTGTATGAAGGACTAAGGCACAGAAGTTAAATAACTTTCTCAACGTCACACAGCCAATATAAGCCATAAGCCAGATCAGGATGTGAACTCGGATAGCTGCCTTCCAAGTCCATACTCTTAGTCACTAGGTTGTGCTGCCTCTTGCATCAATTGTTGATTGATTTCTCTCTTTTTCTCTAGATAACAAGGGCCTTGAGGACAGAGTTTTATCTATCTCTGTATTCCTCAAGCCTAGAGAGAGGTCGGGCACTCGATAATGTGCAGTGAATGTTGGGTAGCCCTCTCCACAGAGAGGGTGGAGTGCACTGGGACCGTGTGCCTGGGCCAGCGGACGCTGCACTTCGTCACCCCATCACCTTCTTGATGTCCCTAGCCAGTGGCCTCTCATTGCTAGCAGAATCTTAAACTCATTTCATCCTGTGCTTAGTGGAATGAGTTGTGCAACTTGTGTATAAAGTATTTTTAGACATTTTCCTGGAATATTCTAACAATTTCTTTGAATGTCTTGAATGAATTCTAGGATTCCAATTTCCCTCTGCCCCCTGTTGCTTATGACTTTAGGAAATATGGTTTCGTTGTGCCTCTTCAAGGTTTGTGGAAGTTCAGGAACGTTCACGCCAAGCCCTGAGATTTCAGGCTGTGCTGTCTGTCTTGGAGCTCTGCTGTCAGGGGCAGGCTCTACCAACCGATCAACCAACCAAAGCCAGCAGCTCTCCAGGCTTTGGAAGTCAAGCCTGGAAGTCGCTTCCTGCAATGTCAGCAGTTTCCCTTCAAATCTTTCCTAAGCCTCATCTCAAGAAAGTGGTGTGGGATCACAATTTTATATTCCCTGTGAGCTGAAGCATTTTGAAAACATACTTGTCACAAGTGATGACTGGTTAGAAATAAATCTGCCGAGGGTTAGCTCCACACAGGAGTAATCATCAGAGCTTAAGAAATCAAAACCATGTTTTTCTTAGAAAACAATTTCTTCATGAAGATCAAGCTGGGGATCCTCCGTATTTTGTTTATAATAAAAGGAGGGCTTAGCATTACATCAAATTTTGAGTCCCTTGTGGTCCTCATTTCTCCTAGCGGCCCTACCTTATTACACACACACACACACTGTTTTTGTTTGTTTCTGTTCAGAATATTTTGCGAAAATGTGGTCTCCGTGCTGTCAGTGCCCACGTCAACGTTCATTGACTCACCAATGTGGTAAACATGCTGTATAACTTTTACCATTACCTAACTTTCATCTGATTTTCTTTTTCAAAAACATCCTTACATATGTCTTTCTATGATCAGATAGTTAGATTTATGTCAAAATTATCCTTTCTCCCTGTTTCCTCCGACTCTTGTCCCCTCTTCTCTCCCACCTCCAACTCTGGAAACAAACCATCAGTGCTTTGATAGTCAGAGTGCCTTGAGGGATGAAATAGTTCGCTTTCCTCTTGAGGGCAGTCTAGCAAATTCTGCTCACACACTAAGAGGCGTGAATCAGTGCAGCCAGAGCAGAGGGATCCTATGGTTGACTTCAGATCCTGAAGCAGTGACCTGGGATGTACATGACTTTGCCACTAATTGTTTCTGACGTGTAAGGGCTGTGGGCTGCAAAGTTTATCAATAACAAGAATTGAGGGTAGTATATTTGAGTTACACGTTGAGAATTGCCTGTGGTAGGTAGACTCGGTGTGAAAAACATAACTGACACGGCCAAAGATCAGTGCTTCACGTCTTCACGATTAGAATGTCTTATGTATACATGCATACATACATATATCTATTTATAGCCTGTCTTAACCCAGAAAGGAGTTCAGATTATTCACCAAAATATGC